CCCCACCCCGCCTCGTTCTGAACCTGAACGAGTCCATTTCGGCGATGATTAATGTGGGCGGGCCCAGAGCCGCTTGAGATCAGCGCGGCCGTGGAATGAGCCGCTCACCGACAGAGAATGGGTCGGAGGCCGAGGCGAGCGAATGCTATTCTGTCCGTCCATACACACTTATCGGGATCCCCCCCCTCTCTGCCAGGCCAGCTATGCTCCGCGCCGATTGATTCCAACGCTCGCGAGGAGGATAATTGCGTGTTTTGTTTCCTTTAAAAATTTAAGGCTTTTGGAAAAGGTGAGTAGTAAGAACAGTAACAACATATTTTTACAAATTTAAGAACGTATTAAGTTTTGATGTAAAGACCTGGCCGATCAGCCAAACGGAACCTTGAACTGTATGCTTTCTAGATGGTCACGCCTGAGGTCGTGCCTTTTCCGATGACGACATTGAATTAAAGCCACTCTCCTGCTCTCACCCTTGCCGCCGTACAGCCACACCGCCCGGCCACGTCCCAACCGCGCGACCGAGTCTGCTCTGCACTTTCAAAAATTTACAAAATTAAGGGCCTTGTAGTAGCAAAAGCCTGCCGCTGCACGGAAAGAAACAAATCTTTTTTTCCCCTCTTTATTTCCTCTCTTTCTTCCGAAGAAGACGAGGAGGGCTGAATAATGTTTCGGCATCAGCCGCGGAGGGCGCAACTTTTCACTCACGCCGTCAGGTACAAAGCGCGGCCCCGGACGGCTCGCGCGCGACACAAGTTTCGCTGCCTTACGTGATAAATATGTCCCGGCACGCAAATTCCTTTGAAATGCAACGCGGCCCACCGCCGGCGCGCGCCCTTGCCCGGCCGGCTCCGGGGGAAAAGCTTCTTGACAGATGGGACAAAACCGGGCAAAGAAAAGCGACGGCGCGGCGGGGGGCGGGCGGGGGGCGGGGCTCGCAAAGCTGCGCGTGTGTTGCGCACTCCCCAACTTTTCACTCCGCCGGCTCGTGCCCCGCCCCGCTATATTCCCTCGAAAGAATTAAGAATCGTCTCACTTTCCTTTTCATCTCCTGATAGATGGATCAGGAGGGCCGCCTAAGCGGGAGGGGGCTGACTGGGGGGCAGGGCGCGCCTGGGGAGCGGCGCCGCACCGCCCTCGCCGGGTCAACTCTCCCTTAAGTCTGCCAAGAAGATATTCTTCCTTTTTTTTATTTTCTGTCCGGACGAGTCTTACTCATTATCCTTCCTTTGGAATGTATCCCTATCCCTCTATAAGATTCGCCCGATCTGCAGCACGGCGGCAATGCGATCAGAAGCGGGGGGTGTCTGTCCCCTCTTTTTGCCTTTCTCAGCCCCCCATCCCCCTCTTTTTTTGCAGGGAAGTGGGCAGCAGAGCACGTCGGCCAACTTTCACCACTTTGTCGCCGGCTCCGACCCAGCCTGGTCCGCGGCCATGTGTTGACTCCCCGTTTTTCTCTGCTGTTCGAGTAATGTCGGAGATATCGGTGAAACTCTGGGGCCCATGGGGGAGGGCAGGGGCCGTCCGTCCAGATGCTGCTCTTCCCCCACTCGGCGGCGCCTCCGCTGCTACTGCCGACGCCCGGGGCCGACGCCCGGGGCCGACGCCCGGTTCGAGGCCGACGCGACGCCGCAGGCCGACGCCTGCTGAGGTCATCGCGCCTCCAACCAACACCAGGCCGTCCGTCGGGCGGGGAGCAAAACTTGTTCATTTTGTGTGAGGCGAAAGAAAGGCGAGGGGTGGATCGAGGCGGTCGCAAGTCGACACGGATTCGTGTTGAGAAAATTAGACCGACTTTAGGATTGTACACGTTGGCGGCTGGGGCCGAGTCGCCGGGATCCTATTCAGCCTGCTTGGCGGTAGGGGTTGGTGGAAGGAGGGGGGGGGGGATTGGGGATCAGGTTCGAAGTTACAGAGCGTGTACACGGTCGGTTTTCGGAACGTAAAGTCGCGGCAAGGCTTTGAAGCGCTTAAAAAAAAGAGAAGCAACCTTTGCATTCCGATCAGTGTTTAATTGCTCTATTTTTTTTTCCACAGAGAAATAACCTGCGGATTTCCGATGGCATGCGCCCCACTTTCAGACTCGCCCCGTGCGGACGCGATGTTGGTAAGTACAAAATATTTAATTAACCTATCGAATGAAAGTTGAAGGGCGCGCGCGGACACAGCACACCCGCGGGGGTGCGGGCGGGCTGAAACTGAAAGCCCCGCCCCTCTTCATCGGAAGTGAGGAATGGAGTACATTTTTTTTAAAAGTACACCCGTCGGTATAGGCTTATCCATGCCATGAAGGGGAAGG